AGGAGGGGACGGGCTGTTCGTGCCGAGTATCCCTGTGGAACAGCCTAGGACTGAAGAGCTGTGCGGTGGTGGGCTCGCTGTTAGTAAGAACTGGTGTTACAGCCTGCCTGCTAGTTCTGCTTTAAAGTCTGGTGACGCGCTCGTCCCCACCAAACCTTTCTGGCAGAAATCCTGCAAGACAAAAGGAAACTAAATAAACCCCTCTAAAACCAGGTGGAGCAGGTGCCAAGGAGTCCATGGGAAAGCTGTTGCTGTACTCCAGAGCGTGGTAACTGAGGGCTGTTGGCTCACTCTGCTTCCTGGTATGCTGCACAGGGAAATGACAAACCTATAGGAAAATAGGGATGATTCTAACATCTTAAGTGTGAGCTGAAGAGGGAGTATGAGTTGAAAAACATTCTGGATTATTGTGTTGGGAAAGCTTGGCAGCAAAAGGATAGGCTCCAGCAATCCAGGGACATGCATTATACTCTAACAAATCCAGGAAGTTGTAGCAAAATTTCACATTTTCTGGGTAAAAGGTTGATCTTTTCAGCATACTGAGGAATAAAATGCTGCTTTTCATGGCTGTGTTTCACGCAGGGCTGGGTGGTTCTGCAGTGTTGGTAGCTCTTCTGTTTACTGGGAAGTTTACCAAAAATATGTATTTTTTTTCAATCTTAGCTGTTATGTAGAAAGGTTGAAGAAGAATCTAATTTTTGTAAAATAGGGAAATAAGTGTTATGATCATCTAAAATCTGTACATTGCAAGGAAAGCATGGCCTGTTGACTGTTTACATTGACATATGCAATACAGGTGATGAAACTGAGATGTACAGAATAAACTCAGAAGAAAATTGTGGATTGTGTTTTGCCAACTTTCTGATTACATTAGGGTTTGGGTCAAAACACTATATGAAATGTTATTGTATCATTTACAGTTGAAAGGAGTTTGTGTTCACTTTTACCTGTGATTTGTTTTCTTCCCTTTTTTGAATCAAAGAAAGAATGGAGTTTTGATACCTTGTTGTCTGTGCACCTTCTGAGTATATTGTATGACCTTTTGGGGGGCAGGTGGCTCTAAATAACTTCCTCTGAAGTTACCCTGTTACGTTATGCGGAATCCCTGTAAAATCTGTTCTGTTCTTGCAGGGAATTGGCTCTTTGATGTTCTTCAGCTGTTGGAGGTTTATCTATTTTCTTGCTTCTCTGTAATGAAGGATTGGAACCCATGTGACAAATGAGTAAAATTCTTCAGTCTCAGCTGGGAGTCTGAAAAGATGCAGCGCAAAAAGGGTTCTGGGACCCCAAAGCAGCCTCTGCAAGATCGCCAGAAAAGCCAGTCTGATCTCTCTGCCTGGCGGAAAGGGGGGACAATTGACCCTGAAAAAAGTGTCCAGGATCATCAATCTCTCAATGACCAGGAAGCTAATAGCAAGCAAGACTCCCTTGAGCCAGCTTTGAGCTACTTTGCAAAAGGTAAGAGCAGTTTTCAGGTCAGCTGCCCGAGCTTGAAAAGATTTTCCCTTTCTGTTACTACGTAATGAACCCAACAGAAAAGGATAGATGTAGGGGCAATTCAGAGAAGTTTTAAATGGTTCATTTTCGATTCAGAACTTGTTTCATCCTTGTTTGTCCTGTTTTGTTTTGTTTTGTTTTTTTCCCCTAGTTCAAGACCACATCTCACTGAAAAGGAATAGTGCTCTGCAGAGACACTTGGCTACTGTGGAAAGCATTGCCCTGCAAAGAGGGTTACCCCCTGAGGCATTTGATGTGTTGCTAAATGCAGCACTCAGTGGCAAACTTGGTAAATGTTTATATACTGTTAATGTATCTTCTGTGAATGACTTTTTTTTTTCCCCTCTGATCAAACCTGCTTGAGATAACGTGTTTATGGGGACTGTATTGTTAGGTACTTTAGCGTAAAATTCATCTTTCTGAGATGCATGGGTATAATTCCTGAGTTCTCATTAAAAATAACCTCAGTTCTTGCTACAGGGGGGTGGTATCCTAAAAATATGATTACTTGTTACAAATATTTTTTGAAAAGCTTATTTCCTTTTTCCAGAGTTGCAGGTGTCTGAAAGGCTGAAAGTGACATTGTCTTTTCTTTGTTGTAACTGTTTGTGTAGGTTCCTTTTACCCAAGATCAAAATAATTGAACAAACTGACCTGTTGTTTTAGTGAAACTTGCTCAAATTAAAATGCTGTCCTAACAATCAATTCAGCATTGTGAGTGCAGCTCTCATGCTGCTTTCTTAGACATGGTGGCCACCATTTGTACCTCTAAATAATGAAATACTCAGAGAAAAAAACCCTAAACTTTCCCTTCCAACACAAGAGGAGCATACAGGATTCTTTCTCCATTATGCGAGTAGTGTTGTGCTTTTCTTGATTTAAATCACTAGGTTCTCTCCAGAACACTGATCTGCTGATGCTTGGCTTATAGTCATATACTCTTGCTGAGGAATTAGTTGTTTAGTATTACCAGAAGTTTGTGTTATTTTTGGTTGCCTTGCCAAGAATATGAAGCTGTTTCAATATTGAAATACTCAATATTCCATTTTCTATAAGCTGGAAAGGAGTATTTCTCATCATTTCAAGGTGTAGGTAAGTCCCCACTAGATTCGTGTGTGCTCTTTAAGCAGTGAAGTGCTGAATAAGCTTGTCTAGAGGGAATTTTGAGCAAAGCTGCAGAACCATATTGAAGAACCTGCTTCATGAGCGTCATCTTATTTTAAATTGTTTGTTTTCCAGCTGATACAGTGAATACTCGTTTGCTGAAAAGCCTAATTCCAGACTCAGTAATACCAGAAACTTCTGTGGTTTCATCTGTATCTTGGCTCTGTGTCAGCAAATGCTCAAGCAACATCCAGGTAACTCAGTAAATGTTTACAGTAGTTATTGCTTCTGCATAGGAATGATGAGGACAGATTTTTTCAGGAAGCAAAAATCCTGAGGTTATTAAAAGGTTTTACATAAAGATACTGTCCTTCAGAAAGATTGGCAGACACTCCCATTGCTGGAACAGCAGTGGGAACAGAGGGCATTATTTAAGTGTGAGTGGAAATTTGCACAGCTCCTGTGTGTCTTGTATCTCTGAATTCCTTAAGAATGATTTCTCTGGCAACATTTCTGTGAAATATTTCAGCTATGGGAGGCATTCCT